ACCTGCACACCGAAAACTAATTCACCCTTTCACACGTGCATGTATGTTCCTTTGTCACTCTTCCCCGATTAACATGTCAGACTAGCTTATTCGTGCTGATACAGTCCCCATGTTTTCTTCACTTTGCTGTTCCACGACGTATCGTTCGCAGTTGACGCAGTTCGAGTAGGATGCTATTCGCCTATTCGAGGAGTTAGGTGAGGGATGAATTGATGTGAATATCTTAACTTTTGCTGCAGTAAAACCATTGTGTTTCCACCCAGTAAACTGCTTTAATTTTAACCAAAGCGCCGTTCAATGTGGTCATACATTCGACTCCATACACTGACCAGTTGTTAAACGTAGGTTTCCGGATAAATATAGTCCATGATTGTCACAACCCCTTGGTTTGAAATCCTGCAGTGATAGAAAGAAATGCTTTTTGTAATTTTTATCAATTCTTCTCGAGAATAGACGACTTGTTTCGCCCTCCTCCGAGCTCAAAAATAAGGCAGGACTCCACATTTTCTATCAACCCTAAATTCCAATTGAGCCCACGTTGTGTGAATTTCGCCAATTATATTCATTCGCAAACTAATTTGGGTTTAACTGAAGGCCCAGCTGGATCCCAAATGATTATTTGGTTCGCGGTATCCTTCAATTTATACGTGTAGTTCAGTGTAAAAGAGTATAAGTGACGAATGGGAACTTTGCACATACTGAAAATATTAACTGACGATTGGGTCACACGATTCTGAGTTGCCGTCATTTATTACACAGATACGGAAAGCTTGCAAAACTGTACTAAAGTAGGATAACGGAATAGTTTTCAGCAATATTTACCCCCAAAATGACCTTGGAGAAGCATAACTTGACTCCTGGAGGGGTAATCAAAGCAAGGATAATTTATTTTGCATCCACTAATGATGTTCACAATTTCGCGCACAGAAACGTACGAATTTGATCGGATTTTTGGGAAACTATAGATGAAATGTCCCAAGGTTACAATCCCTGTATGAATAATCGCTCCCGGCCTAACCTTAGTCGAGAAGTTCCCCCTGACTACATCCTCAGAAAATCAAACAGTGTGAATTTAACCATCGAAAGTCAAATCCGCCCCGTTATAACGTGATGCATTTGTGCATGGGCGTGGGTCACTTCTCTGGATTGTCACGCATTCAACGCATGTTGAGTACAGAATACTGTTAGGTGTTCGTGGGGTTTATGGGAAAAACAAGACCCATCATAGTTCAGCCCACGGCGCACGATATGCTGTACACAAACATGACATAAACCATCAGCTATAAAGCGAAAGTTCTTCGTCAGTGCAAGACCGATTTCGCTCCTCTTGGGGCCCATCAGGTAGGCACAGTCCCAGAGTTTCCTTCAATCTTACGTTCTACTTGAAACCAAACTGCAGGAACTTAACGAAGTACACACATTTGCAAACATCAGATTGACGGAAACTCTGGGACTGCGCCTACCTGAGGAGCCCCAAGAAGGACAAAACCGGTCATGGGCTGTCG